TGTTAGAATAGGAAATATTATTATATTTACCTTTATTATTATAGGGTAACTTCTTACCCAAGTAGCTTAACCCTAGCTTGTTGCCCAAGTAGTTTAGTCTATATATACTCTTATTCTGTAAGTGATTGATACACATTGATATACAGAAACACTTCTTCTCCTATTATGTCTCTCTTTACGCCTCTATCTGACATGGTATCAGAGACACCCCTCTGAGCCGTGGCCACCCTACATTTTTTTTCTTCTTCTTCTTCAATCACCCATCCATGGGTGACGCCTCTGCCACCGTCGAGGGCTCCTCTTCGGCGGCTCTTCCTTACAAATCAATTTCTCCTTATGATATTACTTCAAGTGATAATCCTGGATGTGTTATTTCTCAAGTTCTTCTTACCAATACTAATTATATCGAATGGTCTGCGGCTCTCCGGAGGGCGTTGTGGGCTCGCAAAAAATTTGGTTTCTTGGATGGATCTATTCCTAAACCAGAGGAGGGTTCTCCGTTATTGACGGATTGGTATGTCAATAATTTTATGTTAGTTTCTTGGATCATGAATACAATAGATGCTTCTGTTCGTTCTTCTATCCCCAATATCGAAATTGCTCAACACTTATGGCAGCACATCCGTGATCGATTTTCTGTGGTTAATGGTACTCGAATTCAACAGTTGAAAGGAGAAATAGCGACCACATATCAAAAAGGCATGACTATTAGTGCGTATTATGGGAAACTTCGTACACTGTGGGATGAATTGTACGCATATGATCGTCCGGTGGCTTGTCGTTGTGGTAAGTGTATTTGTCCTCTTGAGGCGGAGCATGAAATTCGTAAGGATAATGAACAATGTCATCAATTTCTCCTTAACCTAGATGCTGAGATTTTTGGGCCTGCTAGATCTCAAATTCTTGCACAAGAACCCTTGCCGAATCTCCACCGGGCTTATTCTGTTATGGTCCAAGAGGAACGTTTGGCCACCATTGGTAAGACTTCTTCTTCTCCTGCTGTTGATGTTCACTCCTTTGCGGCAGTTGCTCGATCGAAACTGCCGGCTCCTGCACGTCCTGCAATTCCCTCCGGCGCCCCGTGCAGTGTTTGTGGGCGGACTGGACACGACTCCAGCCGATGCTTCAAGGTGGTTCCTTGCCCTCATTGCAGCCGGACCGGTCACAATCCTAAACAGTGCTACGAATTGATCGGCTATCCTGCTTCATCGCAACAGTCTTCTCTCGGCGCCTCTTCCTTTTCTGCAGGACGTGGTTCGATCGCTGCTGGTGCCGGTCATCGTCTCCCTCCCGTTGCAGGCCGCGGCCGCGGTCGTGGTGTATCACCGGTGCAGGCCAACGCGACTGGTGTGCTACCCGTAGGTTTTCCGGCCGCCAGTGTTCCTCCACCTAGTTCGACTTCCTCACTTACGACCACTGGCCTTTCTCCTGACCAGTGGTCCGCCTTGCTAAACTTAGTTCAAACTCAGTCTTCTGCTGGTTCTAGTACCTTGACGGGTAAGTCTCATTCTAATATGTGGATGTACGATTGTGGCGCGACACATCATATGACGGGCTTTTCTGAATTTCTTGTTGATGTTCGTGATATTGAGTCTAGACCAGTGCAGCTTCCTAATGGACAATTCACATTTGCTACCAAAGCCGGCACAGTTCATCTTACTCCTACTGTGATCCTATTTAATGTTCTTCTTGTGCCCAGCTTAAAATGCAGCCTTATTTCTTTGTATCACTTATTGGATGATTTGGGGTGTGTTGCCCATTTTACGAATTTGAATTGTGTTGTACAGGACCGAGCTACGAGGATGGTGATTGGACTGGGTGAGCAAATGGGGGGATTGTACTTCTTTCGGGATCCGTCTGCGGCGGTTATGGCAACAGTTTGTGTTGGCGGCTCAGTGGACCTATGGCATCAACGACTGGGTCATCCGTCTTTGAAGGTTCTTGGAAAGATGTGTGATCTTGCCCCTAGTTCTTTTCGTAGCTATGAAAATAAATCTTGTGATGTTTGTCTTCGTGCAAAACATTCTAGAGATAGTTTTCCTGTTAGTGACAGCTGTGCTTTGGAACTTTTTGGTTTGGTCCATTGTGATTTATGGGGTCCTTATCGTGTCCCTTCTTTTTCTGGAGCTCGTTATTTCTTGACTATCGTAGATGATTATTCTCGAGCCGTGTGGCTATATTTACTTGATGATAAAGCCTCTGTCTCTGCTACATTACTTGCTTTCTTTGCCATGGTTCAACGTCAGTTTAATAAGTTGGTGAAAGTTGTGCGTAGTGATAATGGGACTGAATTCTTGTGTATGAGTTCTTATTTTCGTGAGCACGGTATCCTTCATGAAACTTCATGTGTGGGTACTCCTCAGCAAAATGGTCGTGTTGAACGCAAACATCGCCATATTCTCAATGTGGCACGTGCTTTGCGTTTTCAGGCCAATTTGCCCATCGAGTTCTGGGGACATTGTGTTTTGACTGCTGGTTATTTAATTAATCGTACACCCACTGAAGTGCTCCATGGAAAGAGTCCTTATGAGGTTCTGTTTGGTACTTCCCCGTCTCTTGATCATTTGCGTGTGTTTGGCTGCTTATGCTATGCTTATAATATGGATCGCAAAGGTGATAAGTTCTCTAGTTGCAGTCGTCGTTGTGTCTTTGTTGGTTATCCGTTTGGCAAGAAGGGTTGGTCAGTATATGATCTTGAGACTAAGGATTTTTTTGTTTCTCGTGATGTCAAGTTCTGTGAAGACGAGTTTCCTTTTTCTTCTGTGGTGGTTGCTCCTGTATCTCCTTCTTTGCCTACTATGGCTACTTCTCCTTGGCCTGTTACTGATGATGTTGATGCTCCTATGTCCTTGCCCGCTCCCTCGACTTCCGTTCCTCCCTCCCCGTCGGAGGTTTCTGAAGCCAGGGGGGGTTCTTCTCCTACTCCTGAGGTTCTTGGCAGAGGTCACCGTACCAAATATCCGTCTGTTCGGCTCCGCGATCATGTCACCCACACTATCATCTCACCCCCCATTACTTGCTCACCCGCCACTCCATCATCCTCAGGTACTCCTTATCCTTTAGCTCATTATGTAAATTGTTCTTCATTCTCCCCTGCCCATCAAGCTTTCTTAGCAGCGGTTCAGTCCTCTGTTGAGCCTCGCTCCTTTTCTGAGGCCATGACTGATCCAAATTGGCAAACTGCGATGCAACTTGAGATTCAGGCTCTTGAAAACAATGACACATGGGCTTTGGTTTCCCTTCCTTCAGGCAAGAAGGCCATCGGTTGTAAGTGGGTGTACCGTGTTAAACATCGCTCTGATGGCTCCATTGAAAGATATAAGGCTCGCCTTGTGATTTTAGGTAATCATCAGGTGGAGGGCATTGACTACACTGAGACTTTTGCTCCAGTCGCAAAAATGGTTACTGTTCGTACTTTTCTGGCCGTTGCTGCTGCTCGCAGCTGGGAGCTTCATCAGATGGATGTTCATAATGCTTTTCTTCATGGAGATCTCCAAGAGGAGGTTTACATGAAGTTGCCCCCTGGGTTTCGCACTGGTACTCAGGATTTGGTTTGTCGTTTAAAAAGGTCTTTGTATGGCCTTAAACAGGCTCCTCGTTGTTGGTTTGCCAAATTGACTACTGCTTTGCAGCAGTATGGTTTTACCCAGTCCCATGCTGACTATTCTCTTTTCTCTTTGCGTCGTGCTTCCCTCTGTTTACATGTTCTCGTTTATGTGGATGATTTGGTTATATCTGGGAATGATTCTGCTGCTATTGCTGCCTTTAAGGATTATTTGTCCTGTTGTTTTCACATGAAGGATTTGGGGGTTCTTAAGTACTTTCTTGGGTTGGAGGTGGCTCGTAATTCTACCGGCATTTTTTTGTGTCAGCGTAAATATGCTTTGGACATTCTTTCTGAAGTTGGCTTATTAGGGGCGAAACCCGCTTCTTTTCCTTTGGATCAGAATCATCAGCTTCCGCTTGCTTCTGGGCCTCCGCTTCCTGATCCCGAGCAGTATCGACGTCTTATAGGGCGTCTTATTTATTTGGCTGTCACTCGCCCTGATTTGTCTTATTCTGTGCATATGTTGTCCCAATTTATGCACAACCCTTTGCAGGCACATTGGGAGGCTGCTCTCCGAGTTGTCCGTTACTTGAAGAGTAATCCTGGGCAAGGCATCCTATTTCATGCTACTTCTGATTTGCGTCTTTCGGCTTGGTGTGATTCTGATTGGGCGGGTTGTCCTCTTACTCGTCGGTCTCTTACTGGCTGGATTATTCAGTTAGGGCCTTCTCCTATTTCTTGGAAGACCAAGAAGCAGCATACTGTTTCTCGCTCTTCTGCTGAGGCTGAGTATCGTTCTATGGCATCGACTACATGTGAATTGAAGTGGTTGAAGTCTTTGTTGACTTCTCTTGGTGTTGATCATTCTCTTCCCATTCCTCTTCATTGTGATAGTAAGGCTGCTTTGCACATTGCCTCCAATCCGGTCTTTCATGAGCGGACGAAGCATATTGAAGTTGATTGTCATTTCGTTCGAGATGAGTTGGTGAAGGGTATTATTGCTCCAGCCTATGTCTCTACCAAGGTTCAACTTGCTGATATTTTCACCAAGGCTTTGGGTGCTAAGGAATTTGAATTTTTTCTTCGCAAGTTGGCCATTCGGAATCCTCATGCTCCAACTTGAGGGGGGGTGTTAGAATAGGAAATATTATTATATTTACCTTTATTATTATAGGGTAACTTCTTACCCAAGTAGCTTAACCCTAGCTTGTTGCCCAAGTAGTTTAGTCTATATATACTCTTATTCTGTAAGTGATTGATACACATTGATATACAGAAACACTTCTACTCTTATTATGTCTCTCTTTACGCCTCTATCTGACACACTAAACACCATTGTGGAGTTGGTAAGTCATCATGAGCACTTGAAATTCCGATAAGTACATCTACTGTTCTTATTTTATCAAAATTGTTTACTTTTGGAACATCTTGTGTTGTAGCTTCTAATCTGTTTTCAGATCCTGGAAACCTTAATTGGGGATGGGCTTCATTTATTGAGCTTGCTGTGGTGAATGATCCTAATAAAGGCTTTGTCGTGAACGACTGTTGTATTATACAAGTAGAGATATCTGTGCAAGCTATTGCAAGCTCAGCCTGATTTTTCTACAACCTTTTCAAACCAGACAGAAAGTGTTTTTTTTTTTTTCTTTTAATATGTTTTTCACTATTATTTAAATTCGAATGAGATATTATTTGATTTAATTTGGCAGAACAACCAAAATTTTTATTATGTTGGATTTTAATTGTTAACCGTGACCGAATGATATAATTATAATTTTGGCAAACAATTAAGAAGGCATGTAACTATCTAAGCACATTACTACACATGTTTATTTTTGAAACAAACAATGAAAAACTGTAATATAAGAAGCAAAAAGTACAAAGCTGCTGGATAAGATGTATTCAGACAAGAACATGATGAACAAATGTATGCTCCATCAAATTATTTCAATAAGTGTAAAAAGTCTTGATTTAGTCAAACATATATAGTCTCGTGTTTTTTGCTCTAGCACCTTAGATTGTTACCCGGGTCAACTTGAAGTTGATCACAGTATTGCGTATAGTACCGAACGCGCGAACTCACAGTGTCAGGATTTCCCCCATCACACTCAATCGGCCCATTAATGGCCCGAATCGTAGCCCCAAATCCTTGTCCTGAAATAATTGGGTCGTGACAATGGTTCATCCAATACCATAAAGCCGTCCTGAAGGATATAACTGGGTCAGTGGCCACAATCTCGGGATTGTTCAAGCCATCGAAGCCAATGCTGTTGCCAGCTGGGCCGTAATTGAAATTCCACGACAGCTGAATGGGCCCACGACCAAAGTAGGCCCGGTTAGGAGCGCATGGATACTGTGTGTTAGTCTCGTCGCAATAGTCTCTAGATGCGCCGTTGATCTCCTCGATGTAGCAGAAATCTGTAAATTATGATGAAATAAATAATTAAATATATATATATATATTAAAATAAAAAAATAGGAAAAATTGTAATTATTATTATTATTATTATTAGTTTTTCAAATTGATAAAATACAGGGAATAGTACTAATACTACTTTTATTATAGATGATAATAGATATTTTGTAAAAATTGACATGGTATGATCAGTTTTGTTCCTTGCACGCGGCCACGTTAAGGACCACACGCATTTGTATTAAAGTAGATATCTACGACAAGTTTGATGGCCTATCCATTAGGCGGACCGACTCATCATACATTTATAACACAAATGCATATTTATATAATGAAATATTATACTTTTATTTTTTTTATTTATTGCTTTCTAGAATACGACACTTTAATTTGAAAATATAAATATATGCTCAAATGGTGTGGCCGCGTAATTGTTAGGCATGCTAACAGTAGTCTTCCTAATATACTAATTAATATATAGTATAGGAAGTCGTCAAAGGTGTTAATTGTTAACCAAGTAGTTCTAAAGTTTATCCTTGTAACCTTCTGTTACAGAAAGCAATAATTTTCAGTTCATCAAATAATTAAATTCCCAAAAAAAATGAAAAAAAAAAAGGAATAAGCAGTCTATAGTAGGGCAGTTCCAAATATTTTTATTAAATGTTTACTATATAAATAAACTTACGGCCGGTCTCATGCGTGACGTGCGCGAAGAAGGCCGCGATCTCACGCCTGGTGTCGTTAGACGATCCAACAGTCCCAAACTGATTATACGATCCGACGGCCTCGAGAAATGCGGCCCGTGTGTAGAACCCGTTGCCAGCACAGCTACCGTCCGCTTGACCCGCAATCCCATCAAAGAAGGCATCAGTCACGATTTCAGACACTGACACGCCATTAGAAGGCCTCACGTTGCACGGGCCCGACTGGCAGCCCGGCCCGCAATAGTCGTTGTCCTGACCACAGTAACCCCAGCGGCTGCAGCAAAAGCCCTCTTGGCAGCCGCAGTTTTGGGCCAGAGCTGCTGGTGCAAATAGTGTTAGTAGTGCTGTGAGTGTGAGGGCTAAGAGTGACTGAATGGCCATTTTTTTTTTTATTTTTTTTTTANTTTCTGGGATTGGAAAGGGGTTTATGACTTATGAGCCTATTTAGTGTGGTTTTATGGTGAAGTTGGGTTGGTTGGTATTTATAGATGTGGGGTGGGAAGAGAAAGTTGCCTATGTTGTTTTGTATTATTGAGAAATTGAAAGGGGGGCAGAGTTTATTTTGGCTTGGTTTCTCATTGAGTGGACTTTTGACTTTGTCAAAAAGAGCATCTTTGACAAGTAGTGATGATTATTAGTTAAGACATGGTCAAGTATTTGCCTAAGAAAAAGTTTAAGTCGTCATTACCATGTTTTTTCTTGTTATACATGTATCCCGTGAGGTTTACTCATTCAAATGCAAGGTGAAACTATTAATTCCAATATAGTTCATTCATTTATATGAAAAAATCGTTGGCTGCTCCATAGCATCCCTCCCATTCATTCCATTGAAATGGCATTAAACAAGAAATGTGGGGCCAAAATAATTGGAAAATAATATTTATCTTGCCACTTGCTTTTAATTTTTATACTTTATTATTTTAATGGACTCCATAATGTTTAACGTCTAAGTTGAATAAATGTAGAAGAATGTTTAAATGGAGAGTTATTTAGTGGACAGATGATGTGGATGAGAGAGAGTGTGTAATTAGCGATGTGCCTTCCGAGCTACCATTTTCAGTCGAAGATGAGAGCGAAAATTTTTATTTGTGGTATCCAATTCTAGGAGAAAGGAATGTTGATCCTGAGCCGATATTTCATTCCAATCGGATGAGTTTGCGAGATTACAATGCAAATCGAAAGCCCAACGGACTCGATCCGAACACACAATTTCACAAGACTAGTGCCTAGTTTGCAGGGACAGATCTAGAAAATAATGTTAGGGGGGCCTAGAACAGTTAATGAATCGAATTGTGTTCGTATGATTCATGAAAACTCAAGTTCAGTTTGCTAATATATTTAAGCGACCCAAGCTATAACAATTATTTGAGCTTATCTTTTGAATGAGTTGAGTCAGATTAGGCTTATTATATGGGCCGACTTCGAGTTCATATTTTTGTTAGTTTATTAGATGCTCTAGCTGAGCCGACTCATTTATTAAATGAGCACAAGCTTGAATATGAGATATTTGATTTGACTGGGGTCGAATGATATCTTTAGAGGACTATATAATTTTTAATATCTCTCTTTCCCTCATTTATTTTAATCTATTTTTTATATTCTAAAATTATGCAGTGATTAATATAAGCATAAATGACAATAAACAAAATTCTACAAACTTATATCTCTACTTAACTAGATATACAAATGATTGAATGTTATTATGATATTAAAACTAAAATATATAAGTAACTATCATATTGAAAATAATAAAATTGTTACAATTATAATTCATAAAAATATGTGTCATTATAAATAGTAAATACTCTATTAGTTATTTGTTATACAATTATTTTTATAATTTCACCATAAGAATATTGATAATTTTATGTACTAATTTTTTATTATAAAAATATTTTTTCAAGCACCCGTGTAGTATACATGTCTCATACTAATATATATTATAAAAGATTGTAGAAAGAGTACTTACAATAATATGTAGTTGAAATTAATTAGTTAATCTATATAGGGTTGGGTTCAAATGACAATGGATGATCTAATAGATAGAAAAAGTCAAATTTATACTTCATTAAGGGTAATGTGGTAATTTTAACACACAACCAGTGGGACCCCCGCCACCACACAACCACTAACATGTGGGACCCACCTGCCACCTTACCCCCTGTCACTCATTCCACACACAAACACACACACACACACACACACACGCACACACAAACACACACACACACACACACAAGCGACCTCAGCATTACACACACAAACTCACGCACACCACACTCACGCACACAATACACACAACACACACTTCAGCACACACATAACACACACACGCACGCACGAACAGACGATCGCAACACCAAATCCCATTGGCGATTGCCACCACCTGTCATCGTGTCGCCACTGTCGGAGCACAAAGAACTCCGGCGGAATAGCCGCCGCATTCAAGCCGCTGCTTCGCCGCCGTTCAAATCATCGTCTCTGGCGTCATCCTCCAGCTCCAAGCTCTGTATCAACCTCCTCGATTCAGATGCAGTGACGCCAGAAAAGTCGACATCAAGCTCGAAGGTCCAACTTCAAAGGCGGATTTTGTAAAAAAATAAAAAAGAAAAAATAAAAAAATCACCGGACAACAGTCGATTGCGCTGACTTACAGGTCGAATGGCAAAGGCCACTGAAGACGGTTATGGCGGCAGTCGTCGGACATAGAGGATGACGGCGCGGTGGTGGTATGGGCATAGAGATACAAATTTAGGGTTGGGGCTGTTCGTAGAAAATTAAAAAATGTGCAAGGACTTTATTGCAATTTCATGAATTTTGAATATATTTCAATTTAGTTCATGTGCCAAATGAGTGATTTATATAAAGTTTAATAAGGTCATATTAATAAATAAAAAGATTATTTATAAAAAAATTAATAAGGTCATATTAATTTGGTCAATTAATCGAAAAATAATTATTGTGATTTGGTGTTAGTTTGGATTTGCACAATAATAATATGAAATATTAAATGAAAAATTATAAATACTAAATATATTTTATTATATAAATAATTTGATATTTACACAATAATATTAATTAAAATACATATTAATAAGGTTTCTAAAATTGAGATGCACACAAAAAATAGTCGATCAATAGATTACACAATAATGTTATGCGGAACGCATGTTATTATCTGTGAGAATGCACAATAATGCTTTCGGCTTCTTATATGTTATGTCTTTTAAAATAAATTAATTTAAAATATAAAAATAAATATTTAGTATTTATAAATATTTAAAATACTAAATATATATTTATAATATAAATAATAAAATATTTATATTATTAAAATTAAATCGGTTAAACCATCAAATAAGTCCATTATTTCAGATCGATTTTAGTTTCTTATGGATCAAATCATTAAAAATGCTCGCACTGCAATTGCACAATTGTGTTAGACGAATTGCACATTCATGATTGTCGTATTGCACAATAAAAATCGAAACCGTTTGACCTCAAATTCTCGATTCGAAATTTTATATTTTGGTTTGATTATTCGTCTTTAGTTTTAATTTATTGATATTCAGTTCGATGTCAGATTTATTTTTTAAAATAATCGAGATAGCTGAAAAGACCGAACATTATAAAAAAATATTGTTATTATTATTATTTTTTTATAGCGTTGCACATTAAGGTTGTACAAGTTGCACGTTAGTTTCTATTAGATTCCACCACGTCGAACGAATTCGAAAAATCTAAATTTTTTAATTCGAAAAAATTTAAATTTATGTCCGATCATACTTATACAAACTCAGTTAGTTCGATTCAATGTTGGGTTTTTTGTTTAATTTACCTAACCGAACGGTCAAAATATTAGTATCATTTTTTTTATACTTTTATGTAACATATATTTATTTTAAACCAAATATCAAATGAAGTTATTAAAATTTATTATATTTTGAATAATTACGAATTTGATTCATGAACTAAATTGTTATATATTAAAAATTCAGAAATTGCAATCAACTCCTTATTACTTATCCAATTTACAAACCACAACCCTCGTCCAACATTCTGCCAAATCGTAACAAACACCGCATTCATCTACCCGCTGACCACCATGACTGCTTCCGAACACCATGTCTCACAGGCCACAACCATCTCCACTGCCGGCGGCGCATCAGTCGGGATGGTCAACCACCTCCATTGATCCCGCAACCACCTCCGACGGCTGACCTACGGGATGATTTGCTAGTTTCTGCCGAAGGATCGTCACCCGTCTTTGATGACGGGTTGTGGTGGCCCAGTGGCGGGCCGTGGAACTGCCAGACTGAGGAGGCGCAGAGACCGGGCTGTGAAGCGCAGCTGTAGGGCTGGGGAGCCGCAGCGGCCAAGTTGGATAAGCGCGACGGCTAGTTGCGGAGTCCCCGTGACCAAGCTGAGGATGCGCGGCGGGCCGACGGCAGACTGCGGAGTCGTACGGCTAGGCTGGTGATGTGCAGCGGTCAGACTGTGTAGGTTGGGTGGTCGACGGACGGGACCGGTTTGCCGATGGTAGTTGGAGACGGTGGCGACGAGACCGGACGACCGGTTGCTAGCGATGGGCGGAAGACGACGACTGCAAGTGATGGTGTCGATTCGTTGATGTCTGTGTGTGTGTGTGTGTGTGTGTGTACAAGTGTATTTTTTTGGTGTGATTGTGAGAGAGAGAAAGAGAGCAAATGTGGTGTGTAGTTTGTGGTGGGACCCATTGGTGTGTGTAATGTCTAATTTATCCCTATTTAATGGTCAAATGTGTACATTTGACGCAATGTGTATGTTAAATTACCATATTACCATAATCATTGACCAAATTTTGACTTAATGCTTAATCCTTATTATTGATATGATGTATCCAATGATCCAAATTTATTCTCATTTCTTTTACTATCTTCTTTCTCATTTGCT